AACTTTTTTTTGACGTTTGACCTTTGACCTGCGACAGACACACACACACAAACGAATTTCCGTTTTTTGACCACTTTTTTCGACATGACCCTCCTTTCAGTCGAGGGAATATGAAAAGTAATATATTGTTATCGCTTGTTAAATGTGAAGCAATAATGGTAAACGAAACGGTATATGATGAAAGTTTAATTGAACCTTGAATTTATGAATATTAATACGTCATGTTATTAGATTTATAACACAAAATAACATTTTCTAATTGTGTAACATAGTTATTCCGGCCAGCATTTTCTTTTACAATTTAATTCTCTTTCGTTACTATATATTTTTTCTTTTATTTCTGTACCTATATATTCTCCTTCTCTTCTATACATATGATCTCTTTTGATCTATGCATATATTTCCTTTTATTTTCTTTCATCTATATACTTATTTTCCTAAGTGACCTGGTGCCTAGATATTTCTTTAATATTATGAACACAAGAAATAGTTCCTAATGACTTCTTCTTCTTCTTCTTTAAGAGTTTTGTATGACCTCCTAATTTTCCTAATACATCAATGACTATTTGCTCGACTACATTCAATATTCTTAACTAATTGGATTCAATGATCTGAAAAGCTAGATAAATTTAATAAGCAGCACATATAAATTTTGTTTGTTATCAAGTACACATATTTAGCAATAAACTGGATATTACAATATACCTATAATATCATTTACACGTACAAATGAATTTCCAGGAAACTTATTTTATGTATTATATTTGAATTTCTTGGAAACTAGATATTACCATCACATGATTGAATTAATTATGTTTCGAATGTTGAGCTCCGACCGAGATTGCGCTAAAGGCTTTTTTCTAGTATTTTATCCTAACAATAGTACAATAAATTAATACTATGTTATAAATGTGCTCAATTATGTCACTTATTGTAATATTAGAAAAACTATCATGTTTTTATTTTGTTTTTTGCATTTGTTCTTTCTTGTCATAGAATATCATCTTTTCTGTTTTATCTCAATTTTAATATATATAACGGCGTGCCTTCTTTCAATACGTGACATTTGTGGTATGTGAGGCTTTTTTACTCTTATTATAAAAAAATTTTCGCTTCTGTTGTTTGTAAGAAGAAAGTACGGTTAATCAAAGCAGCAATAAATCAAAGTTCAAGTAAGTAAATTGTATCCTAGAATTCTATAAGCACAGATATTGTTGAAGAAATTAAAGCACAATAAATTTTTAGTTCATTTTTCCTTCTTCTGACAATAGCTATTGGATACGATTTTAGTCCGATGAATTCAGGCATTATAGTTTGATAGTAGCAAACTTTTTCTTCTATTCACATTGAATGCCTTATTTTTAAGTATTCATTAAAACATCAGATTTTGACGCTTGTTTCAATTGTTATAAGGAAACAATCAGATCTTTGTTGAAAATAGACTCTGTAATTATCGAATTATGTAATAAAACTCTTTTTTTTGTGCACAATCATTCGAAGTCCTCATAATAGTTTTCAATATATCTTATAATCTTATGTAATTTCTAATAAAGGCCTTCTTGAGTCGAGGTTTACAAAGTCCGTATACAGTTGTAATGTGTTATACACGAAAAAAGTACGGCCATAAACGAAGACCATATAGTCTCTCGCACACCGAGCGAGTAAACGGTCGTGCTTATCTAATCTCCGTTACAATTTACTATTTTCCTTATGAACTTACTATAAGGGAAATATAATGTAAAGAAAACAAAAATACCAACAAAATCTATGATTATATTATACGATGATTTTTCCGTAACATTTCCCGTAACATTTCCCGCAACATAATAAAAGATATCTAATTTATTTACTTATGCTTTGCACACCTTTCTAATTGACATAATCTTATTATAGAGAGCTTGATAATCATCGTTACATTATCAAAATAAGAAATGTCACTTTTGAAACGCAGGAAAGGTTTGCAGTAGATCTGAGCTTTTCGTGATGATATGTTGAGTATGAGTGTGTGATAGATTTCTGGTTAATTTGTAGTGAACAAAGAATTCAATTCTGAGTCGAACAATTTCGCCTTCTGATGGATGTGGGAGCTTAGATATCAGGAGTATGAATATAAGCAGAAAACAAAGACTGTTGGCTATATTCTCCTAAGACTATAGATGTAGTTGTATTGTATAATAGATGTAAAAAAATTTTACATTTATTTTACTTTGAGCATCAGTGTATAATGCAATGTTATACAATATCGAATGCACTTTGACGGAAATACAGAATATTTGAATTCAAAGCAGATCTGAAAGTGTATTGCGAGGATCGTCTCATTCTATGAATAGGAAAAATCTGATAGCTTGAGAAAAACAGAGATGACTGTGGAGAAAAATAGAGAAATAAGAAATACAGAAAAAATATGAATATAGAGAGGAACAGAGAGATACAGTGGCACACGGAAAATTACACAAAAGAAAGCTGCCATTTGTCTTCATTTTGTGAAATAATGAGACAGAATCGTTGCATCTACGTATAAATTATAGTCCGAAGGTATGTTAATCTGAAAAAATCAGCTTAGTGAGAAAAGTTTTTAGCGTTGACATTATAAAATTAAAGAAAAATTTCAAATGATGTGAAACTGATGAATATGTTACCTGACTAATACCGAAAATTAAAATATCGAAGGTCAAAGTATCGAAAATACAACGATCCACAGTAAAAATACTATAAAATCTTCGCATAAATATTAACCGATAGGTTAAGTTTGGTGTAACAAAAAAAACTAAATGATACTACAGATGTACAGAACGCGTTCATTTTTTATTGTTGATTTTTTTTTCAGTAGAATATAGCTATTGTCTCTATGGAAAAGTTTTTTCTAATTCCTTTTTCTGCCGCTGAGTAAGAAATTTTCATGATAGAACTAATAATAACTCTATGCTGTTCTCATACATTATCTTTCGAAAAAATTTGTATTAGCTACATACATGTAACTTTAGAAACACGCATGCGTATTTAAAGCTGTATTCTTTAAAACTTAAACAAACCAAACTAAAAAGATGCATCATTTGATAACAGAAAATATTAACAAGTTTCTTTATTATACGAATATCACTTCTGTATAAGGTATAGATCTAGAAATTTTAATATCAGTTTAATCACTGTTAGGGATACAAATAGTTCATTTGAACAACCTGAACCGTTTGAACAGATCTTGCAATAAGAACTGACCTGATTGTCCATACAGTTTCCTTGAGAGGAACTGCTTTATGGCAACAGTTCTTATTACAGACATAACTTTGAACACCTCCTACGAAAAAAACTATTGATAGAGTTCGGCTCGTGTGAGCTGAGCTATGTGTACCGCTCATCACTGTTATTTCGATTTAAATACCGAGAATTTTATACAACTGTCGCATCTCGAAATACACACTGACAGTTCGAGAGAAATTGGAAAACTTCCGTATAGACACCGAAATGACGGTAGATATACCGAATTTTAGGATGAATCGTCTAGAACCGAATTTATTCATCTATACTCATTAGGGGTGCACAAGTTCAAGTTCAAAAACTGACTCAAATGAACTTTAGAACTGCAAAATCGTTGATTGTGAACGGAGTGAACTGTTCAAACAGTTCTTTTGAACGAACTGAACTTTGTAGACCCCTAATACTCATACTCTTCGCTTGCATTCTTCGAGTTCACTTCAGTATAGATTCAAACTACAGTAAAGTCTTTCATCCAGTCTCATCCACCCATAAACTACTCCGCCCTACTTGCACCCGAATTCAGTTCATCCTGTTTATTCAAAACGATCCAATTCACCCTCATGTACTACTCACTCTTACCCACGTTAATTTGTTCTCAATATATTTCATCTATTTTAATTCAGTTTCGCCATCCACACCCTATTTTACGTAATTTCAGTTATGGATGCAACAGTGGGTGAGTTAATCTATAAAAAGTGTACGGAAATAGCTGGTTATTTTTATTGTCAGAACGCTTTTGTAGAACTAAGCGTCACTAGTGTAAATACACCGTCTTACTATATATGCGATGCACTATAGTAACGATAGCATTGATATCAGATTATCTGTGCGTCATTGGATGTATCAGAAACCTACGATGTCAAGCGGTTTTCTGTCATACTTACGTATATTAGTGAAAGGAGAACTCAGAAGTACCAATGTACTGATCAAAACCATAGGTTCTCTTATATACCTGCGGGCTTCGTTGAAATTCTTACAAAATCCTATGAGTATATAAAAAACCCACGGTTTTGATCGGTCTGTTAACAAGTATGTTAAGCAGCACACTGGACACATCTCTGCCCAGGTCAACAAATCCGATGCTGGATCCGATCGGATCTGACCGGATCCGACCATCTGACAAAATCCGATCGGATTCCTGGAAACGGAATTGCATTGGAATCCGACTAGAAAAATCCCGTCGGTTGTTGCGAATTTTATGAGCGATCCTTCTAGCTATATTCTATGATGACCCTTAGAAAATCCAGGAAATCCATGTTTCGGATCCGACGAGATCCGACGTGGGATCCGATCGGATCCGTCGAATTCCTGTAGGATCCGATAAAATTCTGTATTTGATCCGATGGGATCCGAGTATGGGATTGTTCGACCTGGGTGAGACAATTTGTGGGAGAATTCGATAAAGTCCAGTTAGATAAGTCTAAAATTCGTAAACTCGAAATCAACCGGATTCGTATCTGTCCGACGAGCTCTAACAACCGTCTGTCTACCGGTAACCATTGCTGAAAAATATTACAAAGCTGAGCTGATAAATAGGTACCAAGGTGCTGTCGAAACCTCATCCACCATTTCTCTCTTTGTCTTATCTAAGAACATTACATATAAAGTAACCTTTTCGAAAACTTTTCATCAATCTATTAACTTCAAGCTAACTCACCAGAATTTGTTTATATAATATTTTCTAGATTTATTATCGAAGAGCAAGGAAGACGAAACAAATGAGTTCATTTTCGAATTTCACCAATATGAAACATATTGGACCTATATTAAATATTGTACTAACTCGAAAAATCACACTTGGGTTTTTAATAACTTTGATTATTCCATCTCTTGCTGGTTCATTTTTTGTATTGTATCGTGTAACACAAAAGAGAGAAATATTTAAACAACTACATAATCAGTTGATTTTCTGTATTTTTATGGTTTATTTTATTCAGGTAAATGCTCTATAATATGAATATTATCTATAAAATAAAAGTTTTCTCATTCATACAGACCATACTTGATCTACCTCTTACAATCACATTTCTTCATCGAGGTGTAGTGGCAATTCCAAATTATTCGTTTTGTGCATATTGGTTTATTCTAATGTCTGCTCTTAATATGTGCACTATGCATTTAAATGCTTATTTATCAGTTGAGCGTTATTTACTCGTATTTCATCATAAATTCATATTTAAGTAAGTTCGTAAAAAATATATAATAATTCTTATTGATTATCTCACTTTGTCTGAATAGATACAAGATCTTGACACATTATATGCCAATGTTTTTTATACTTATCAATTCAGCAGTCTTTACATTTTGTGTTGTAATTTTTTATCCATGTCAAAATGAATTTAATTATGATGCTATACTGTGTGGTACTTCATGTGCTGTATTAGATCCAATATTTGGGGTGTTTTTATGGGTAAATTCATTTGTTGCACCATTACTTATTATTATTTTGTCAAACGGCTTTCTTCTTCTGAAAGTTATTTGTCAGAAACGACGAATGTTACAGAAAAATATCTGGCACAGAAATAAAAAGATGGTTTTACAACTTATATCAGTTACTGGAATGTTATATATTTCTTGGTTACCTCTAACTACTGCCACTGTTATCAACATAGCACATCCAACTCAACTCTTATCTGAACTTCATCTCAATTGGTACTTGATTGGTTTGATTTATATTCCTGTATTAAGTTCACCAATCACAACTAGTATTGCAATACTTGAACTAAGAGAAGATCTTCGTGCATGGTTTAATAGAAGACGTCCATTTTTTCGTGGCGTTCAAATACATGCCATCATTCCAACTGGAACTCAGTAAAATGAGAAATTTTAATGCAGCAATGCTTCAAGCCACTGAAAAAGAACGTCTTATGAACAGTATTAATGTTGTGTTGTAATTAAGCATTTTATTCTCTTGATGTTGTTTAGTTAAATAATATCTATAAGCAATGGTCATTATATTGATTTTCTGTATTTTTATGGTTTATTTTATTCCGATATATGCTCTATAATATGAATATTATCTATAAAATAAAAGTTATCTTATTTATACAGACCATACTTGATCTATCTCTTATAATTATTCCCTCGACTGAAGGGAGAGTCATACAAAAAAGAATAATTTGTCTGCATGTCTGCGTCAAAGGTTAGATTTCTGAAATTGTGTCATAAATAACTCCGTCGCGCATTAGAATCAACAAAGTGAGATCAGTCATAAAATTAACGAATCAGAAATCAAAGGCTAAAAACTGATCAATAAAACTCAGGACCTATAGATTGATTCTGAAATGTGTGTGCTTGATGATAGTTTTAACTATTGTTGGTCAATCAGATATTATTTTGTAACTGCTGTGCTTTTATCATGTTATGAACAGATCGTCAATGTGCGAATGCCGCATTCGGCTAAATCTTCTATTTAAAGTTGGTTGTCAATTTTCTCTATTTACGGATAGCGTCATGACGTCCTAACAACTTACCCATAATATCTATAACTTTTCTCTATATACAGGGAACGTCCTGGCGTCCTAATTACTTACACATGATACATAAATACAAGGGGAGCGTCGGGACATCGCATCTATAGAGAGAAAATTTTTAATTGATCAGGAGTTTTCTTGCAATAGTGTTATTACCTTCTTAGCGTCTCCAAGTAATCGATAACAGATAACAACTAGTAAGATAGCGTCATGTTATTTTATTGTAGCAAATGTTTTATATAATTGAAGCTAGAAAATTATAGAAAGCAGTTATTCTATATCTATCATGCATGAGTTGGCGTTTTTTTCGAATATTTTTCTCTTTTCAACAAACTTTCGATTGTTGCAAAGACGACAACAGGGGAAATAAATTCCTTTTTTTGAGGTTGTTATAGCTTTCTCATTTGAATGAAAAGCTTTTCGATCGTATCTTGTTTGACCGATAACTACATTTCTTTTTCTTTCTGTTCTGTCATCGTATTATGTTGTTTAAATGAGTCCGCTGGGTCATGATAGACGTCCATGGCGCGTTTTCTTATCATTCTCTTTCATCGTTTCACATCAACTTTGTCTATTATGTGTCATATTCTGCTTTTTTTATTCACTCTCATTGAGTATAACCTTTTCCATTTAACAATAAATTAAAATATCCATAGATCTATTTTATTAAATCCTTCACCGAATCAGTTCTAAATTTTCTTGAAAATCATTTTTCATCTTAGAAACATATTTTTAAAAAAATAACGTCGAAAGTTGTTGTTTGATTGCTTGAGGAAGATAAAGAAAGAAGAGACCATATCGATATTTCTTAACATGTCTGATGCATTTATTGTCACACATATTGATAAACTGATTGACACAAAGATAATCTGTCTACATTTATTGACTATTTAAAAGATATTTTCACGAAAAGGTGACTTACGTCGTTAGTCTACAAAGAGAAAAGAAGATGAAACTGTGTCAAACGATCAAGAATTGAAATAATGAAATTTATATCTTCAAAAGCGAAAATAATCCCGAGAAAAATTACGCACGAAACGACAAAAAGATCTCGATATTGTATCGACAAATACATCCGCAGTTAAAGATTTAAAAAAATATTCTTTTCTTATATGTTCGTTCTCTTTCTTTCAACAATCACATCATTCGTATAATAGAGAGATTAGGTGTACGGCTTGTCCACGTAAAGTAACACTTCAGACATTAAATATTTATTTCTTATCTGACACCAGACGTTTATGCCATGTTGTAGAGTATCTTCGAAAGTGTATTAAAATATATTTTTGCATTCCAAAGGTTGTATTTAAATGCCTTAAAAAATACCTGCATTAAACCTGAATTTCCCTAACATTATCCACAGTTTTTTTACTGTTGTTTAGAAAACAACCATCCACGTTAGTGAAAAGACCTAAACCTGTTATCTCAAATTTACTTTAAAGTACCACGCATGGTCTTTCTTTTGATGAAAGAACGAACTCTTGATCTCTCCTTTTCACTGAGATATTCTACAAGTAACGCGGCCTAGTAGCCGCTAAACCCTCTACTGAAAGGATAGTATTAGAGCGCCACTATTCATCCAAAGAGAGAAAAATGTTATTTCAGTTGAACGATCTGATCATTTGATAATTTGTCAGAATGTTTTACCTAGACCAATTTCGCTTCCTGAAATCTTCTGAGATTATAACGCCTAGTCGTTTTTCGGCCTCTCTCCGGTCAACCACTCACTGCTAGCCGTTGGTACCTAATAAGTGTTTAATGATATTTTCATATTAAAAAGTATCTCGTTCTTGTTGAGTCCGTCTCTAGCAAAGTTGCCGAAATTCTTCACAACTTCATGACCTACAGTATATCTTTTATTATCATTTTTTGTTGAATAAGTCGATGATCTACATAGTTTTTTCTTGAAACTCGAAAAGATGTCATATATATATATATACCTTAGAACAATGATGGCCACTTTGCGGCAGTCTTATAAATCTCACTTTTCAACTAATTTTCAAAAGAAACAACTAGTCGGTCGGCCACTCACGGCTAGCTGTTCCCATGCGTACTCATTTTACTATCTTAACTTCATTCGGACGAAGACGCGTTCCGAAAATGAGCACATTTCGGAAAATCAATTCAGAATCAAAAACTTAGAAGCTTTACATAGCTATATGATTCTCTGGAAAAGGTTCCAATCTTCTCTCCACCAAGAGGAACCTTAAATAGTTGCCACCTATGTTCGTGCAGAGCAATGCTTAATTTCTGACCAAGAAATCTTAAAGCTCTATAAAAATCACAAAGTTTGTTCTTAACAATATTATTCTGCAAATCGACGACTAGTCGCTCGTCGGCCTCCCTCCGGTCGGCCACTCGCGGCTAGCCGTTACATGAACATTTTCACTCTTCCATTTAGTCTAGAGTCACTTTTGAAACTAATTCATTCATTCTCCTCTATTCCTTCTTTAAAAGTCACCCTCTTTGTGCTACTGTGACTGTCGAAGACAACACCTGACAAGCGAAACAGTATTTTGAATGACTGGCATCAGATGATATTCGTATAGTATACATGTTTATAAAAGTGTGTGATCTCAGTAATATGCTGATGACTATGGAGATCCAGCAATCGGACGTCAGTCAGTTATTACATTTTTTGTTCTACATATTGCCGCTTAAAACCTTATCGTCTAAAAATTGATCCTTTGTCGCAAAAAAAACTGGCCAGAAAGTGTTCATGAAAAAACTAACACTGGATTCGAGATCCTCGACCCCGATTACCCTTCGGTCAACCCTTACTCGGCAACAAAAAAAATTTCATTACTTAATTAGTTAATTAGCTAATTAGTTAATTGGAATTTCGAGAAACTGACACCGGATTCGAGATCCTCGACCCCGATTACCCTTCAGTCAACCCTTACTACTATGAGCTAGTATTAGGTAATATTGGAAGAAAAATGAATGAACGGACGAACGAACGAACAAACGAACGAACATCAGCTCGTTTTTTCGGTGATATCAGCTCGACGCACTACCCTCCTTTCAGTAGAGGGAATAAGATAAAATCGAAGTAAAGGAGTAAATATATATATTACCGTTCTCGTTCACCACTTTCAATGAGTTTAACATTTAAAGATGCTCGAATTTGTGCATTACGATCAGCCATTGGTTTATTATCAAATTAGAAATGATCTAAAAAAAAAGGTAACAAAGAACTAAACTGATCTTGGTATTGATAGAAAATGATGTTGATGTTCTATATGTAAGGAGAAAAGATAAATACATGATGAAAAAAAAGAAAAAAAAACGAGTGTGTTTTTAATTGAAGAATATTGGATTAATAAAATGGTAAACGAATCCAACTTTGATAACGAAGAAAGAATGGTTTGATACCAACTAAACTATTGGATGCTATAATATATGAAAAACTTTATTGCACATGATATTCGTACATATAATAGTTAACCCTTTCGATCCCGCATGGCATCTCGTAGATGCCATAGAGAACACGAAAGATATTTTTTCGTTCTGTCGTCTACTTAGAAGACGAATATCATATGTGTTGAACGAAATTTTCATGTGTTTCTTCATGTTTCTTATATCTCGATAATCACATTAGATTCAAATACAGCTGATTCAACGCAAGAGAGAGAGATTTTCTATATTTTTCGTGTTCATACAGAACGCAAGAAATTCTCGGGATCGAAAGGGTTAAATGTTCTATGTGACGTATTTCCACTAGAAAACTATGAATCTATTTCCAAATAATATTTGTTGATTATATTTTGTAACATATCAAATGAAATTAAGAAAGAATTATGAAACAGATTTGTATCAATGACTTTAAGGAATTTAATTATATCGAAGCGAAAGATATCATGAATTCAAGCATAACTTAATGTATTTTCAAATTTCTTTATACTTTTCTTTTCTTTTCTGCACACGTGCACTTGTGCATATATGTGTACATATTATGTTCTTATGTTCGATATCTGTATATAAGCGTTCTTTGTCTTCCACATCGAATGACTGTCCATATTAGTTACGACAGAAATCATTTATGTTCATGAATATTTCACCATAAACATATCCAATTGGTTTTGTTTTCATCTTGTATAGATTATACAATTAAAGTTATTATTGTTGTTTATTTGATAGTGGTATTTGTCGTTGCTGTCCAATAAAAAGGTTTTTCATTTATGGATTTAATGATAAAATCAAAATTAAAATCATTTTCATTTCAGATTCATCATTGTCTCCTGTAATACATAATTCTATTACTGAACTTGGATCTTGTCTATATTACTCTCTTTATTTCATTCTCATATTTTGTCTCTTACTGATATTCTCCCGAAAAAGCAAGGTTTGAATTGAAAACTTTTTTTTTCGCACATTACAATCATATTTCTTCGTTTTAGAATCATTCTCTGATATTGATTTTATTCGAGAAGTGTCTTAACAAATCATACTGATATTGATGGAAATATGTTGATGGTGTACTAATTTTTTCGAGAAGCAAAAGGTCGGATAAACCACGATTAGAAAAGATTCTTTTTTTTTGAATATTGAAAAACGGCACATTGATTTGTAGTTGCTTGTTTGTGTTTTCTAGAAAAAAATGGGTGAAGAACGTATTTCTCCATCAACATTTGTTCGAAATCAACTGTTTCCTTATTATGCTGATGTGGATTTTGCATTTTTAAAGTGTTGTAAGTAGCATAATTATATGAGAAATAATGTTAAGTTTATATTTTAATATTTTATTTAGATGACTCTTCGAATAAACAAAGTTATTTTTGTTGTTTACTTGCTGAAGAAGTAAATTGTCCTGCACATTTTCCTGCTGAAGTAACAGAAGACAATATGATTATCGGTGTGAAGCTAGCACGAAGGAGCTAGCACGAAGAAACTGTGTGTAAGCTAAAAACTTTTTTCCAGAGTTTGTCCGGTTCATAAAACCTAGTCCATTCGATTCAGAATTTAATTCTGC